AGCTTGAGATTCCCGAATGTCATGCCTACTGATATCATCACTTGGACATTGAAAGGACACCTCTAATCTGACAGATTCTAAACTGAACTCCTGATCTGCACTGCTTCTTGCCACTCCCACCATAGTGCCGAACTGAGGTGATGGCAGCTCTATCTTTTCAATTGTTCAGGCTGTGGAGGGCATCCTTGATCTTCCAAATCCCACATCAGAACCATCAGGACATTTTGTCAGCTGTGTCTTTAATCTGACTACTTTGTAGCAAGTCTGCTGCTTCCACCACCACCATCACCATTTCCTGATTATTACAAGGCTCATACCACTGGAACCCCTGCTTCCACATTTGTCTCTCTTCACTCTAGGCTAACGGAGCCCCAATGATACTTTTAAAACATGTCAGAAAATTTCACTTTTCTCAAAAACTTTCCAATGGCTCCCAAATTCTCTTGCAATAAAAACCAAGTCCTTACAATGACCTAACGGACCAACTCTCCTCTTCCAATTCCTTTTCAGCTTTTTCTGTCACCTTTACCTGCTCTGTTCCAGGCCCGCTGCCTCCTTGCTATTCCTAGAACGTTCCAGACTTGCTCCCACACTGAAACCTTTGCATTTGCTGTCCCTTCTGTTTAGAATGCTATTATTTCTCTTCCTTTCCCAAGTAACTTTCCACTTTAAGTTTTTGCTGAAATGTCACTTTCTCAATGAAGTCTACCCTTACCACCCTATTTAAAATTACAACCCAGTGCTGTTCATTCCATAGATCATACTTGCAATTTCCATTACACTGTTCTATAGTTTCCAAAGTCCTTGGCACCTGCTAATATACTGCAGAAGGCCCTAATTTATTATGTTTATTGTTTTGTGCCTGACTTTTCTTGCTAGAGTATGATTTCTAAGAATTCAAGAATATTGGACTGCTTTGTTTACTGGTGTATCCCGCGTGCTCAGAACAGAGCCTGAATCAATTGTACTAATGCATAATAACACACAAACAACTATTGGGTTGTCGGAAAAGTCATGACGCATTTCTGCAATGAAAAACATAGAAAAAAAATATGTCATGACTTTTCCGACAACCCAATAAAAGCAGTTAAAACAAGCCTTCTTCGGGCCGGCCGAGTGGNTAGACCGTTTTTGATATCCTGGTGTTCTGCTAATTTTGATGATAGCTTTTTAATGAAAAAAAAAATCTCTGGTGAGATAATCAGGGACAAATACAGAAAGAAATATGAGCTAAAGCTTATAAAGAAGTCTAAGCTAACAGTAAGGAGTTTTTTGTTTTTTGTTTTTTTTTTTGAAAGACTGATTTCTCCTTTTTTTTTAAAGATTTTGTTGGGGAATTGGGGGATGGGAACAGTGCTGGGGAATCGGGGGAAGGGGAACAGACAAGTTGCTGTTGTTTTGTTCTTCAGTCTCTTAGCTGTGGAGGGCAGTGTCACTGGCCCTCATATGTGGGATCCGAACTGGGGCCCTCTGGCATCCCAAGCCAGTTCTTAACCAAAGGGCCACTCGGCCAGCCAAACAGTAAGGGGTTTTAACTCTTTCAGAGCAAGGAGAACATGATTAGGGGGGATAGTGCGTTACTACAGACAAACAAAAGTGGGGAGAATTGACTAACCCCATTTTGCTGACAAAGAGCCTAGAAAGGGCAGAAGAAGGTTTGTTCGGAGGGTGGAAGCCCAAGACCAAGGAAGGCTGTAAAGGAAGTGGTCACTCTTTTCCTTGAGTTCAATTTGGCATCCTAGATCACTCATATACTGAGTACAGAAACCTTGCTCATTTGGTTGAAGATCTACTGTTGGTAATGAACATGAGAGGAGGGCACACAACAGAGAGAAGCGATAGGCAAATATTATTTCACGTGCCTAAAACGGGAAAAAGGGTAATTCTGGAAATTTAGGCAACTAAGCTTGTGTTATCCCTGACAATATTCTAGAATGAATTATTAATCAGATGGTTTGTGAGCCTTCCGAAAAGAAAGTAACTATCTGGGGACTGAGTCACAAGGAATGTCATAGTGTAGTCAACCAACTTTATTTCCTTTCTGATGGATGTAAAAGTGATTTATGACAGAACTATACAGGGAGGGATTCTTAAACTATTCTAAATACCCTCCAGTAGCAAAAGAAAGTTTCTAGCCACAAACTCAAACTCAAAATGGCAACACAAGCATGAAGTTGCTTGGAAGTCAGGTATTTTATTTAGAAAGTCCATTGAATTTTGCACTCTGTTTCATGATATTTCCATATTTATCTAAATATTATATTACATTTTAATTTAAAAGTTAAATTACTTTGCTTTTTCTTTCTGAATCTTTGAGTACAACTGACATTCCAGGAGCAAATGCTATGTTTATCCTGTGGCTTTGCCTACCCCCGGGATGATGGCTGAGCTAAATGGATTTGTAGCTATATTATAGGCTCCAGACTCAAAATGCATTTGAACAATGGGCCCACATCAGTGAGATGACATGTAACAATAATGAATGTAAATTCCCACATTTACATTTTAACAATAATACCACCCACACCACTACCACCAAGAACTATAATAAGAACTGCCTTTATCTGACACTTAATGTGTGCCAGATTCTGTGCAAATCATTCTGTAGGCTTCTTTTGGCTCCTTCCCCTCAACACCTCTCTATAACAGGCACTTGATGATTAGTAACTCCATTTTATAAACATGGAAATGAAAGCTTAGGGAGGCATGTCTGCACAGTGTCATATAGATGGTAAGTATCTGCTCGGGGACTCAAATCTAGCTGGTCTGTTTCCAAGTCTAATCTTGGCATGCTAATGCTTCTCAGAAAATCAGTTGAACAACTATAGCATAGTGCAATCCTCAGGTAATTGCAGCTACGATACTGACTTTATCCCATCTTAGTATAAGTGTGGGGGCTATAAAACCAACACAGTGTTAGGTGCCATGACTCAGGATAAGGGAGACCACAACCCTAGTGGTCAGCCCAAACCATGTGCATTCAGTTCTGGGTTGCATTATGTTAAAATACTGGCAATCCACAGTAGGTCTAGAGGAGAGTGGGTATGGATGTCCTGTCTTGAGTGGATAAGAGGCTGGGAATATTTTAGCATAAAGAAAAGAAGATTAAGTAGATGTGGTAGTTATTCTGCTCATTATTTTTAGCAAATTGTGGGAGCAACCTTTTGACATTAATTTGAAAAAAAAGATGCTCTAGTTCAACATGTTGTAGTTAGTTTCTCAAACAGTGAACTTGTTCCCTCTCTGTCACTCTTGCTGGTTTTCCCATGGGATCTCTCATTGTTGCAAAACTTGAGAATACTGCTCTAGGAGACAGGACACCTGGGTTCTAATCTCGGACCTGCCATACTTGGGTGTTTGACTTTATGGAAATCCCCTTTGGGTTACATTGTTTTTTACACCTCTACCTACTTTACTGGCTGAAATGAGATCATGCATATGAAATTGTTGAAAAGTATAAAATATCATGCATTATTATTACTAATAATCTTTGAGTTAGTTGTAACAATGCCTAAAGCCAGGATTATTGTTGAATAAATATCACACCTGTTGGGGACAATACCCTGCAACATCCATGCTCTCATCTCCTCTAGACTGCATAGTTTTAGACTTCCTGTAATGCTGTTTTTCATTTTAAATGCAGTCTGACTTCTCCCCTTAAAGGAAAAGGACATTTAAAGCGAGTGGCTGGTAGTATAACTGGCACATATATCGAATCTCCTTAGTCTGGGCTGTTAAGTAAGTTTAATTAATTTACTAAGTTAATGTTCCACTGCTAGCAACAGAGCCTCATTGCCATCAGCTGGGGAGAGGGAATTGAAAGCCTAAATGAGCTCATTTTTTCACAGTTGGAATTAGGGACCAGTTAGCCAGTTGTGTGGGTTTTCCAATTTCTCCATCTGCCCTGGGGGGGATTCAGGCAATTCACTCCCCCAACACTAAGTGTGAGTAAGAACAGGAAGAGGGAAGGGAAAAAGAAAAAAAAAAAACCTCTCCCCAACATTTGCTTCCATTTTTGGAACTGGAAGTATTGTTTGCACATTGCTTGTTAACTTGTCTTGGAGAAGCTTTTGCTAATGTTCCTAATAGATTTGGAAAAGAGAAAGGCCTCGGTGAAAGATATTTACCATGTGCATTTTCATTGCAGGGTGTGCAGATAAAGGGAAAACAAATAAACAATAAAAGAATGGAAACAAAATTACAGAAATTTGCAAAATTTGACAAATGGTGGCCTGTAGTTGCCACAAGCTAATGGCTTGCAATGATTAATAAGAGTAAAAATAATTGCATTTCATTAAGATTGATGACACCCCATTTAACCTCCCCTCTCGTTTCAGCCCTAAAGTGGAAAGAGATGAAGTTCTCATCTATAATAGCTCCTGTAACATTACCATGGAAACTGAGGCAAAGATGGAGTGTGAGACGCCTAATCAGCCAATTACCGCCAAGATTACTGAGATACGGAAAAGCCGGGGCCAGAACACTCAGGTATAATCAAATCTTTTTTACAGACTGATTCAAACAGCTCAAATTAAATTTGTAATATTGTGTACATTAAAAAAACAATTTAGTCCAAATGGCAGCGATATATAATATTAAATGCTCTCAAACTTTGAGGAGCTGGTCTAATGCACAACATCTGAATTCATAGTTAACTATAGTTAATCATATATTTTCTCAAAAATAAATGAGTGCTGCCTGGGCTCTTTTAAAGCAAATTCTGAACAGATAATCTCAGCATTTTGTCCTGCTTTCTGTGCTCATGTTTAAAAGGGGGCTTTCTGTGGTTTATTTCTTCATGAAATAAATGGCCCACAATTTATCCAAGCCCTTCTGGAAGGTTTCCAAATTACTCAGCTCCCTTCGGTTGGTGGGATGGCAGTGTTGACTGGTCCATCCGTTTCATCTCTGTTCTGGGGAGAGCAGGATGGAAACTTCAGCTTCTGAGGAAATTACCTGAAAATAGAACCAAAAAGGACTGCAGGGTCATTTGGTTTAGCCTCTCTACCTCAGTTCATCTGTTTTGTAATAATCTGAACCACTCCCTTCAAGTGGCTCTTCCAAGATGCGTTCTTGAAAGTCCCCGGTAAGATATTCAACAGCCTCCTGAGGGATTTTCGTGAATTAACATCAGAGGCTAAGGGCTCTTTTGGAAATATATCAGGGCTGTTTTACAACTCTTCAGGCTTCTTATGGTACACATATAAAAAATAATATTTCTTGAGCACCTACCTACTCCCTTAGGTGCCTTTCTCTTTCTGAAAGCAGTTCTCAGGTTTTTCTCTTTTTGTCTCTTTCATTTGGAACAAACAGCTCTTGGGTGCCTATTATGTGACACACACTATACCAGATGTTCTCATGAAAGCTACTTCAGTTAAACCTTCCTAATCCCAAGTTATCCTTGCTATCTGAGGGACTTCACAAGTTACTTAGCCCCTCTGTGCTTCAGTTTTCTCATCTGTAAAGTGGGATAAGCATAGTACCCACCCTAATAGGGCTGGTGTGAGGGGTCTAACTCGTGAACCACTGAGAACTGCAGCTCACACAGTTTAAATGCCCAACATCAGCCATTATTGGCAGCATTAGTTTGCTAGTAGCAGTGTTAGAAAATGATACAGAATTATTTCTCTGTACTGCTTGCTGTGTTGACCAGATCATTTTACTTCTTAGATTTTATTTACTTTTTCACTACCTCAAAGGCTAATTTTGAATTTGTTGGGGCTTACATGCTAGTCATCTTTAACTATTTATGCAGTATGTATCTAATGAGTTCTAACTATGTTTAAGATCCTCTGCCATGCTCTGAAGGATATAAACCAACAATGTGGAGAGAGACCCCACCTTTAGGGGATAGTAGGGGAGAGAGGCCCTGTGTGCAAGTAGGTAAGCTTCAAAGACAGATATGTAGAGTCAATTCTTCATAGTTGGATGGAAAGTTGGACATCATCTAGAGCAGCCCCCACATTTGAGAGTGAACTGAGATGTAAAGAAAGGAGACCTGAAAAAGGTCACACAGTAGTAATTTGGTATCATAACCCGTGTGGTCGTAAGTCACTGTGGAGGAAGTAAGCCATTCAATCTTTAGGAACCAGAGGGGCATGTCTCTCAAAACGTCCTAGGCTAGCGACAGTTTCTAGAAGGCTCCAGTACTGGGATGTCTCGTTACCCTATTGATGTAGAGATGTCTAGTTTCTCTGCTTGGGACTGTGTACATGTCACCTGTGTTAGGATACACAGTTGCCTAATCTGGGCCTGAGCCTGGGGAAAACCAGCATTGACAGGTGCTTAATTGGACCTAGCATCCAGGTCTCTCTAGCTCCAAGAATTATGTGAGAACCTTGGGAAAGTTCCATAGAATAGTTGGTAAGTATTCTGTGACAAAAGGGTTCCAAAGACAAATACATTTGTGAAGGCTGGGTGAAACAAAGTTATATATATTTTTTTCCCAAAGGACTTTTGAGAGTACTTAATATGTGAATGCACAATATGAATTTCTAAGAGAGGGCTACTGTGTGGAGGTTACTCAAACTTGTTTGTCCATGGAACCCTTTATTCCCCAAATCTGTCTTGGGGCTGTATCTGCCCTACTGCCCTCACTTTGGGAAATGTTGTTCATGCCATGCTCTTCCCCCTCATGTTAGAGTGGGGGATCAGAGGTAGGAAAGATTATCTTAAGATGGCGCACTTGTATGTAGAAATTAACTGAATTCTATTGAAATAGGTGGTTGTATCATGCCATGAAGAATGGGCAGGGTTCAGGCGTTCAAGGGTGCAGAGGAAAGGGATTTCAGTATGCACAAGACACTAAGGCCAGAGCCCATGGGAATAGTGGAAAGAACATGGTGTGTATGAAGGGGACTAGTGAGTTGTAGGTTTGGGCAAGTAGCCTGGGATTGGATTATGATGGCAGGTTAAGCGCTTGGTCCTTTAATTCATCAGGTGACATGTCACCCTCGAGGAGTCACTGCATGATCAATGCTTTAGCAACATTGATCTGGTATTTGGGTGAGGGTGCCTTAGGAAACTCAAGGGAGGCAGGTGAATTTCAACCAGGAAAGAGATAATTGCACAAGAGAAGTGGCAGAGGGAATGGAGAGGAGGGAACCAGACAATAGTCAACACTTGACAACTTGTGTTAGACAAAGAGGTCAAAGACATAGAACATTAGATCTAGTGAGAAAATTATGTGTTGACTTTCCAAAATGATCTTTACAAATTTATGAAAAGAATTTATCTCCATGCTTATGACTCCCAAGTTGTAACCTCCAGCCCAGAGCTTTCTCCTGAGCTTGAGATTCCCGAATGTCATGCCTACTGATATCATCACTTGGACATTGAAAGGACACCTCTAATCTGACAGATTCTAAACTGAACTCCTGATCTGCAC